ACAATAAGATAAATACATCTTTGGGATGGCTGATAAAAGACATAATGGTCAGCTTCACCATGACCCATATCAAATTGTTGTACTACAGTGCTGAATCTACCAAACTAAGCTCTCGGAGATTGCTTAAGACCATAAGAGACATGTGTAGTCTACAAACCATATTCGATAACTCCCACTGAGAAACAAACACATGTGGTTGCTCCATATATACTTTCTCTTCAAGATCACCATGTAAAAATGAATTTTTGATGTCAAGTTGATGAAGAGGCCAATGTCAAATGGCTGCAATGGCTAGAAGAAGTCTAACATATGCCATCTTGGCTACAGTAGAGAAGGTATCACTATAATCTAACCCAAAATTCTGAGTGTATCCTTTGGCTACTAAGCGAGCTTTAAATCGATCAATCTTATCATATGGACCAACTTTCACTATATAAAGCCAATGACAGCCTACTAAAGATTCCCCAAGAGGTAAAGGAAACTGTTTACAGGTACCACTGCTTTGAAGAGTAGACATTTCATCAATCATTGTTTGCCTCCACTCAGGATGAAATAATGCTTCACCTGGAGTTTTAGGAATAGAAACAAAAGACAAACAAGTATACTGCAAAGGGGAAAGACGATGATAGCATAAATCAATATAATGTGGGGAAGGATTTCGTGTTTGACGTATAACTTTTCGAAGGGAAATCGGAAGATCAGAATCAGGTTGTAGGATCGGACTCGGTGATGGCGAGAGTGCCGAAAAAGAGTCTGTAATGACCTCAGGGACATGTACGACCTCAGGGACAGATACGACCTAAGGGACATGTACGATAGATGTTGGTTAACGACATTGATATGTTTGAAGTGGACGAGAAATCGAGGGGTAAACCGTAGGGTTATCTATTGATCCAGGTTCCCTAGAATGATGGGGGATAATTACATATTGGACTTCCACAAGAGGTGTGGGAGTACTCTCCTGAATGGGTTCTAGAGTTACTTGGTTGGACGTGAAATATGGAACAGACTCGAAGAAGGTGGCATCGGCCGACATGAGGTATCGTTCTAGAGTATGTAAATAGAAACGATAACCTTTTTGGAATCAATGATAACCAAGAAAAAAACACATTAGTGATTGAGCTGATAGTTTATCACGACTAGGACGGAGATTGTGTACAAAACATGTACACCCAAAGACTTGGGGAGAAATTGGGTGAAGGGGGAATGGGGAAAATGATTGAATGAGGATTTTTATTGTTAAATAAAGATGATGGCATGTAATTTATAAGGTAACACGCCGTTAGAACATCGTCCCTCCAAAATCAAAGTGGAACATTACCATGGAGAAGTAGGGTCCGAGTGGTTTCTACAAGATGCCGATTTTTGCGTTCGGTTATCCCATTTTGTTGAGGTGTATGAGGGAAAGATGTTTGGTGGATAATACCGTTACTGGACATGAAAGTTTGAAATTGTTGGAATAAGTATTTACGAGCATTATCACTTCTTAAGGTATGAATAGACACAACAAACTGACTTTTTATTTCTTTATAAAAAATTTCAAAAATAGAAAATAATTCTGATCTATTTTTCATAATAACCACGTGCGACATGAAAAATCATCAATAAATGTGACAAAATACCTAGACTAAAGAGTAGAGGAAGTACGTGAGGGACCCCAAACATCAAAGTGAACTAAAGCAAAAGGGGATGGAGGTTTTTATTGACTCGATTGGAAAATTGACTACGAGTTTGTTTCCCAAACTGATACGACTCACAATTTAAATTACCTTTGATAAACTTGGTATCAACTCCTATAGTTTAGGAAGACTAGGATGACCTAATTGAGCATGGATACTGAGTGGAGAATCTTTGGTTGAGCATGTCTGAAATGATACTAAGAGGTAATAAAGGCCTTGAGACTCACATCCGACGCCAATCGTCCATCTCGAACTCCGATCCTGCAGGATGACATTACTATTAGTGAAAGTGACAATACAATCAAGAGAACAAGTTAAATGACTGAATGGAAGTAAATTTAAGGGACAATTAGGTACATAAAGAACAGAAGTAACCGAGAGAGAAGGTAGAATTTGAATAGTACCAATTCCTTTGGATCGAGTTTGAGAACCATTGGCAAAAGTTATAATAGGTAAGAAACCAGGGGTAGAGAGGAAAGAGAAATATTTTTATTACCAGTAACATGATCAGACGCACCAGAATCAATGACCCAAGGTCCAAGAGAAGATGATTGAGAGAGGCAAATAAATGAATTGCTAGTATGTGAAACCGAAGCAACAGAATCTGAATTCTGATAATTTTGATACCACCTGAGGAAATCATTGTAGTTTGGCGTATTGTTCTGAGGAGTAGTCGTGAGTATAAGATCTAGGATAGTTGTAAGGTGGCGAGTGGGGAGGTGAAAAAAATCGATGGGATTAACTGGATCGAAAGAGGCGCTTCTGTCGGTAGGGTTAGTTTTTAGGAAGGTGGTCGGAAATAGTAGTGGTGGCGGAGGAAGTCCGATGGTGATCGGATAAATTCAAAAATTGATGCTGAAATGAATCACGACAGTGTAGGGAAGGAAAACCAGAGTTATGACACGGTTTTCCAAAAATTTATCATCGAAAGACAGTGGATCAACCAGGTAAATCACGATGAAGTGTTATCTCTCAGTAGGCTATGGATACCATGTTAAAATAAGATATACTAAGAGACATTTAAATAAACCGTGTGTTTGAATAATACAACGGAAGATGCATTATATAAGAGAAAATATAAATCCTAGTATATATATATATATATATATATATATATATATATATATATATATATATATATATATATATATATATATATATATATATATATATATATATATATATATATATATCCTATTCTAGAATATACTAAAGAATATTCTAGAAAATATTCTCTTTGTATACATATACGTATATAATTATCAACAATAACAAACTCCACCCTTGGCCAATTTTTTTTAAATTAATAACATGCAAGATGTTATTCATATCCTCGCAGAAAACCTTCCAGATTATTTCTCTAGGTCATAGTAACTTCAAGGAACATATAAAGATAATGAACATAGCATGACAACTTACATTAGATCATAGTAGAGCATAAAAGGAATATGATAATTAGGGATCACTACAAATATGAAAAACCATATTGCATAACATATCAAAAGGAATGTGGTTACTCCTCGTATTTTCCTCAAAGGAATAAAAATAGGAGACTTTGTTCGGCCCACAAGGGCATACAAACCAAGAAATAAATTTTTTGGCTCATACATGGGAAATAAACATCACTAAAGAACATGAAATTCATCCCACACAGGGGCAAGAACCAAAAGAGAACATATTATATGGACATACAAATGACATACAACATCAGAATCATTAGAGTAAGCCATTAAAAGAACAAAACAAACATATCTCAGTCATATAACATATTACTAGAAGGAGGAAGCAGAGTCATCACCAGAGTTAGTCTCGTACTCAACATCTTCATCTTCATTACTATTTACAAGTCTTCATCCATACGCAATGTATCAACATCTTAGGCAACAATTTGAGAAGATGCAGCATAACCAACCTTTGGATTCAACATTTGAACAAGCCCATCAACCATAAATTTTGTGGCAGGGGAAGTATCTATAATTTCCTATAAGGACTTAGCTTCTTGCATTAGACCTTTGTGAAGAATAATTTTTATTGGTCCAGACATGGATGAGACATCAATCATATTTTCCCCATCACCCATATCAGACTCATCAATATTAAGAAAATTAGGAATAACAATATCTAGGACATGTTTTCTGATAAATAGTTGATAACTATAGTTCAATATCCAATCTGATGGCATATGATTATGCATGCTTAACAACTTGCATAAACACATACTCATCAAAATCTTTCAGCATCATTGAAACCTTTTAGAACGGTTATAATAAACTCCTTCACTAGTCTTGAATAGAATGGACCAACATTGACCATAATCTTCAGGACTTATGCATCACTAAGCATCTCCATTACTTCATTATATTCCTTGGCCTCTACATAAAACTCTTCTCTCTCTCTCTCTCTCTCTCTCTCTCTCTCTCTCTCTCTATATATATATATATATATATATATATATATATATATATATATATATATATATATATATATATATATATATATATATATATATATATATATATATATATATATATATATATATATATATATGCGTCTATGGAACACATATTTTCATTTTAGGACATTCTCCGATGGAACAACATGAACATTTTCGACTGTATGTTTTTAGAAAGCTTTATTTTTTTTACCACAACATCTTATTTTTAGTAGTGGTATTTTTCTTGAATGCAACCTTCTTCCATTTTTCTGCAGATTTCTTTTTCTTTAAAACTTTTGGAATTTTCTTGGTCTTTATTTTCTTGATGCTTGACAAAACATATTTATTTGGTGGTGGTGGATTTTTTGGGTTTTAAAATAGACTTTTCTTCACATTTGATCTCTTAGTATTTCTAGGAGTCTTTTGAACAACTGCAACTTCTTCATCAATAGGAATATATTCTTCAACATCATCAATGAAAATTTCATTGTCATTGACATTGAGGCTTACATTATTCTAATCATCATCATTTACATATTCTTCACAATCAATTGGATCTTCAGTAAGGTCAATGACATCCTTCTCCAAGTTAGTTTGATCATAATAATCATAGGCATATCAATTTCCAACATCTTTCTCATCATTGTTATAAAATCATCAGACATCTTTATTAATTTTAACATCAACCTACAATGTCATTGATAGTTTTACTCACACCATGACTAGGATCCTTTTTACTTCCTTCAACATCGTCAAAAACCTAGTTGTCTTATTCTTCCTCATATTTTTCACTTCCTTCAACATCAGTAGTTTCTTCTAACACATTTTCATCAGCATATTCTTTTGACACACTCTGTTTAGTTTTAGGAAATTTATTCTCATTGTTACTAATAACTTGACTGACATCTCTCAGTTGAACTTTCATCATCTACCACAACCTCACATCTGTTCTTGTTGATATCATGGGAAACATTTTTACAAATGACATTAGGGTCAACTTCAACAAAGGTTTCATGCATGAGTTTATTTGAACTAGTTTCACCATTCAGGATTTTATCAAAGATATTCTCACTCAGTGGATCCTCACATGTATTTAAGGTTTCTGTAGTCTGGTTTATGTTATCATCCTCTTCGTTCACAATTTTGTTTGTTACAACATTATGTTTTAACACTACATGGACATCTTTAGAAGCAGAAATATTGGATGGTTCAATGGGTTTATAGGTCTTACCTTCATCCTTCTTAGGGTGAATAACTATGAGATGAACGACTTCCAAGGGTACATAAGATGGATTGATCTTGACTTTAGCTTGAGGGCGAGTGAAATCTTTAGTGGTTTTGGTTTCCTTTGTTGTAGAAATGCTTTTTGATGCTTTTCCTGTTAGATCAATCATTATAAGAGGAAAAAAAATCCTTCAACACCTTTAGTTTCTTTCTTTTGAACACCTTAGGACGTTCAATAGAGGAAGAATTTCCGATCGGACCATCATCCATACCACCAATCACAATGTCTTCCATGCGAACCATCTGAGCATTTACAACATCTTCTCCTTTTGACATATTCTTAATCTTCTTAGCCATTTTATTATCCTTACAAGACGTGTTGGTTCCTTACCTGCTATCCACCATGTTTACAGGAGAGTTAAAATGAAAGTGAACAACTTGGGAGAGAAAATGGGGGGAGGGAGAGAGAGTGGGGGGAGAGAGATATTTTGAGGAAGATGAATAGTGTGATAGAAGAATGGAGTGCGAAAAAATATATAAATCAGAGACTTAAATTTTTGAATATTAAGAGTTTTAGTCTCCTTATTGGTGTTGACAAAGTACACTACACGGTTCTTGGAAAATGTGGCTTGGTTGGACAAAAATATAACTCAATTAATTTCCAGCCACTTTAACATTAATTGCCACAATGATTTCGTCACAAATAACCTTAATGCAGTTATTAGTTTTTCAAATTGAGTAACATCTAGGACTTTTCTAAAGATGTTTGTTAGTTTTTTAGTAGTAACATAATCAAGAGAAATCACTTTATCTTCTACAAATTCTATGATAAAATGATGTCTAATGTTAATGTATTTGGCACGACTATGTTGGACTGGATTCTTTGAGATGTTGATAGCACTCATTTATCACAGTACAGTATTATGACACCTTGTATCACATTGTACCATTTTAACATTTTCTTCGTCTATATTAGTTGAGTGCAACTTCTTCCTGCAATAATATAATCAGCTTCTGCAGTGGATAGGAGACATAATTTTTCTTCTTGTTAAACCAAGATATGATATTGTTTCTAAGGAAGAAACATCCACCATAGGTGATCTTTCTATTATCTACTTTTCATACCGAGTCATACCTAGAATGGAGTTGGTGTCAAAGAGTACAGAAGTCCATAGTCACAAGTTCCACTTATATATTTGATGATTCTTTTAACTTGTGTGAGATGACTCTTTTTAGGATTGTCTTGATAATGAGCACCTACACCTACAGAAAAGTGATGTTAGGACGAGTAACAATGAGATATAATAGACTATCAATCATACTCCTATAGAGACTTTGATCAATAGTTGCTCCTTGGTCATCTTTAGTAAGCTTGACGTGAGTCGTAATAAGGGTGTGTTATGCTTCGCATTTTTCAAACCAAACTTCTTTACTATATTTCTAGCACACGTGCTTTGGAAAACAAAAATGTCATCTTTCATTTGTTTAACTTAAAACCCAAGAAAGTAAGTAAGTTTACCAACCAAACTCATTCATAATTTAGATTGCATTTATTGAACATAATATTCTACCATCTTATTTGACATTCCACCAAACATAATATCATCCATATAGATTTGAGCAATCTTGAGCTTTCCTTCTTCATTCTCAATAAACAAAGTTTTATCAAATTCTCCCATAAGCATAACCATTGCTAGTGAGAAATTATGTGAGTCACTTGATCTATCTTAAGAAAGACATCCTATAAATTACTTAAAAGTTGAAAACTAAATATTTTCTACTTTCGCGCTAGAATAGATATTAACAGTAGGTGTTACAAATGTTGCTGCACATTAATATTGAGATAGAAGAGAAAAGAGTTGTAAAATTTGAACAAAAGGGGTTAGAATTTAGCACAACAAAACATTGAGACATGCCCCCAAAAAGAGTTGTAAAATTTGGAACAAAAGGGGTTTGAGTTGAGCACGACAAAATATTGAGGCATGCCCCAATCAAGAGTACAATCTTTCTCTAAACAGAAAAAGCATTGAAATTATAATGTATTGGTCATATACTATTACAGTGTAATAATATTTATTAGCTTTAGAGTACAAGCATGTGATATTTATTATGTGAGATATCATATGTCAGTGTGCATGCTTATAAGAAAAATATTATACAGAATAAAGACCTTTACCTACTTTCAATGTTTTCGAGAATATATTAATCCCAATATAAATAACTATAAGAGCTTTAAAATACGTTAAAAGTTAAAAAATATTTTATTAGTGGATAGTGATTAGTTGTTGCTTTAGTTTTCAACTATATGAACCTAGATAAAGGCTTAATCATAACGAGTGGGGGAAAGAAAAAGTAAATAAATAAATATGGATACATAAAGATGCAATCCCTCAATGGGGAATTTTTAAATAAGACTTTTTTCCTAGTCTAAGATAATGCTAGCTTTCTAGTTGGAGATTGAAGATGTATAATAGAAAATCATATGTTTCCTAATTCAACATTTATTTATGCTACATAGCTAGCTAGCTAAAAAAAGTCTAACCATTCTAAATCAGTAACTAGATTAGATCTCAATTTTAAATAAGATTAATACTGACCCCTCGTGTGAGAGTAAATGCAAACAATTAGCATGATAAAGGCAAAAATAGGCCAAAAAGATCTTTTATATCATATTATTGAGAAACCAGTTAGACTAATAAACATGAATTAAAGGTTTATTTTATAGATTATTATAATTTGCATATAATTATAATTTGCATTTTATATCTACGATTGCATTTGAATAACTCTAGTAAATCCGACCTGGTCTAGTTGGCTTCCATTTCACCATTTACAATCACAGAAATTCTCTAACTGCCTACAACTTGCATGGTTCAACAATTGAACAATCTGAGAAATTTAATTAACGATTAGAAGATTCATATGAAACTACAATCTTAACATGCACTACTCAAAATCTCTTGAATACATTTTAATAAAAACTGGAAATTAACAGTATCCTTTATTGTTGGACGTTCATAAACTTCTATACTGATACATATTGACATAGTTAGAGTTTGTAGAAATCAAAATAGACTTAAAAATCAAAATCAGAATCATGAATGCATATGAGAAAATCAATTCATATCAATTTAAACATTTAAGGAAAAATTAGTTTATATTTAGAAAAACACATATATTGAAGAGAAAAACACATTTAACTCACATTTAAAAAATTCAGATTAAAAATCAATTTCATGAACGCATATATTAAGAATAGAAACATATGTAATTTACATTTAAAAAATTTGCATTAATTATTCAAAAACATTAAAATAAGGTAAAATAAAACAATTGAAAAAATATAAATCATACTATAGGAGAGGGCATAATTAAACTCATTATAATGTCTTCAGTAAAAACAAAGGGAAAATAAAAACAAAAAAAAAAATTGAATGACTCCCTTAAACAACTTACCAACATTTTCTTATTCAAGTTCCCCTACAAAATTCTTGGATCAAAATTGAGCGACTTCACTCATTTGCTTGCCAAATGCCCTTGTTGTCCCTACAGGAAAATGACCGTCTACCTCTTACAACAGCTCCTAACCCCGCAAGATCCAGACATGTTAGTAAGTCAAAGATATGCATAAAGTTTGTAGCTTTCACACATAAAGTTCAAAACCAGAAACAGAACATTTAAAAATCTATGAAGTAAAAGATTTTTTTATTTATTTAGGAAAGATTAACAAAAAGCAAGATCCCTTCAAAGTTTTCATACATTTCCATAACAATCCATGTACAAACATCAACCATATAAATTTGTATACATCATCGTCGTCATGAAAAATGAAAATACAACATACAATGTTTATCTCAAATAAGTGAGAAAACAGAACAAACCAAATCAAAAACACACCCAAAACAGGTTATATATGGAAGACAAGATTTTCAATTTCAGAATTTGTTTTAACCGAGTTCGTAGATCTGTTTCACCACTGTACTGCCCCACCACCATAGTTCACAGACCTGTTTCACGTATCGACATCATAGGTAGTGTTGTATCTCAAAATTTTCCTTCTCACTTATCAAGAATTTACTCACAAGATCTCGTTGGGCTCAAGACTGCACTAGGGTTTGATCAGCTCAAGACACCTCCCAAAGCACTGATGACCAAAATTAGAGTTTGAGATTACACGAGGATTTTTGAACTTCCAATGCCCCATATGACTTTCATGGATCATTATGGACCCCAAGATTACTCATGTCAAGTCTCAAGCCTTGGATCACATTTTTGCTCAGTCAATTAAGCAGTTGACCTAAAAATCAGTTGTATTGGGGAAAAAGTCAACTATAGCCAATTTACAGTCAAACTTCATAATTTTGGATCCACATCAACATCTTAAACTCATATGTATCATTTTATCAAGTTTGGACCACAATTCCTCAAAAAATTTGATCAAATTTTCAAAAGGGCAAAATGGTCAAAATTAGGATTTTGACTGGAAAAGGGCAATTTCTGATTTTTGACCTAGCAAATGATCAATTGTTTTAAGGCATGATCTCAAGATTAAAATTGCATCATTTTGACCTAATAACATGGCTCAAAACATTGCTCAAGTTCAAAGGATTGACAGATGAATTTTCAGTAAACTAATCAAAAGTCAATTGTATACTGAAAAGTCAAACTTTGACTTTTTAATCAAATTCAAATTCCAAAGATCACAATTCATCAAAACATGTTAAAATATGAAAATTCTTCATCAAGAAATCAAAAAGTCAAGATTTCATTTTGAAAAGTCAAAATTTCTAAACTTAGAAATTTTTCTAAGTGTTGGAAATTTCTTATTTTTTCATAACTCTGAGCAATTTTTTCACCATGATTCAAGATGATTCAAGAGAAACTTCCAACATGAAAGTTGTAGATCTCCGTGAAATCTATAACTTTGCTTTACATAACTTCTTCCAAAAGTGTTTGCATCTCAAGTTATAATTTTAAGAACATGTGGTCATGAAACAAAACACTTAGTGAAATTTTGCCCTAATTTGGTCAGGATTTTGACCCAACTTCATGACACTTTTTCATATAGTTCCAAGGGGAATCTTCAAAAGAAATTCAAATATGGGTTGTATAGCATATTTCAAATTTTCCAAAATGTCCAAGAACTCCTTAAGGTCATTCTTGAGTAGGGAGAATCGAAGAGATGAAGTTAGGGTTTTATCACTTGAATTACAAGTCATTTTGTGATGAACCAAATTCAAAATTCAAACTATGCTGCATAAACTCTACTTTGCAGGCCTAAAACTTGTTAGGCACTCCATAATTAATAGTTTACACAGCTTTTAGAGGTCTCACTTCAAGCATCCAATGCATGGACA